CGGTCCCTGTGCTTTGCTAAGCTTGTTCTAAGTAGGTGCTTTAGACCACTAAGCCATCTCACCAGCCCCAATAATACTCTTTTTAAAAAGGAAAGAGGGTTTCAGGTTCAAGGGATGAATATTGTGGGGAAATGAAGAGGAAATATAGGGGGGAACCTCGGAAGACAAAGCTATTTAAGTAGGAATTGCTCATGCAAATTCATCTTCATGTCCACTCCCCATCTTCCATGATAACAGTGGCTCTCCCCTTCCTGGCACAAGGGGGGAGGGCTCCTCAAAGGGAAATTTATGCCCTGCTTTTTAGATATGTAAGAGAAGAGTAAGGAACTCTTCCTGCTTCAGTTGATATTCAGTTGCATTTAACTCAAAATAATACTTCATCAAAATGCCATAGTTTGGACTGGCATATTCTAATCTCCTTAAAAGTCAAATTCTGGTACTGGTGAGATAGCTAGGCCGACGAAGTGCCTGCTTCGGCAAGTGCAGGAACCAGGGTTCAATCCCCAGCACCACATGCAGTGCTAGCCCTGCCCCCAGGCAAGCTGAGCCGGCCACCGAGTCCCAACATGGTGGAACACGCCTGTAATCCCAGTGCTGGGGAGGCTGAAAACAGGAACTGTATAGTGAGACCCTGTACCAAATACATAAAAAAATTCCTTACTTGTGAGAACTGGGGTTCTGTTCAATGTCCAGAACTAGATGCTAAGCCTAAACTGTGGTTATTTGAAATTTTATAATTTTAAATTTTTATTCAAAATATTATTAAAAGTATAAAAGGACAAGCTCCAGACAGGGAGATTTTCAATCTGTGTACCCCATGAAATCACATACCCAGCATGTATAATGAACTTCTAAATCTAAATAATAATGAAATAGGCAACACAATTTTGTGATGGCAGTAGTTGAAAAGCAGTTCATAGAAGATTATAGTCAAATGACCAATATGAAAAAGTGTTCATTATTAGTCATCAAGAAAGTTAAAATCATATGTACCCAGCACTTACAGTAAAAAAGATTAATAATACAAAGGATTGGGAGGGAAGTGAAGCACCTCAAATTCTCATATATTGCTGATAAAAGTATGCATTACACCGCATCTTGTACAACAATTAACCACCAGGAAGAATGTATGCAGTGTGTTAATTATTGAAATTGTCCTACCAATTTGGTTTGAAACTGTCTCATTGCTACTTGTTTCTCAATAAAATTATGGGAAAAAAGTATGCATTACATTTCTGTTGCTGTGTGTTAAATGTGCCACAGATTCACAGGTTCATTGTGAAGAATGACTTGAGGCAGAGACTGCTCCATAGGCTTTTGTGAAAGCAATGAGGCATACAATGTAATACCTGGCTGCAGGCAGACAGTGAGCAAAAGGACCATTTACAGATGGAACAAAGATAGGTGGGTTTCCTTATAGGACTAAAAAGAAAACAAGAGACATTAGGTAGGAAGACCTTAGAAATTATCAGTGGTCAAAGTTCTCTAAATGTCCCATGCTACAGTGGGCAACGTCCTCAAAGTTTGCAGTGTAGATGTTTGCCTGCCTTCAGATGTCCTGCTGCTTGGAGGATTCCATGTTCTATCTTATCTCTTTTATGACATACTATGTGTACTGAGGGCAGCCCCAGTGCTGAGCTAGTTCTTCCTTGAGAGCAACACTGCTACTGACAAACAGATTGGATACTTGGAGAGTCATGCCGGAATACAGCCTGACAAGAACGACACACATCTACTGTCCCAGAGGTTTTGTAGGTGAGGAAGCCAGTCATCACTTCCCTGTGCTCTGAGTTCTCACAAGGCTTAAAATCAAGTTT